AAGATTAATGATAAATCTTACCTTGCCTTGTTTCAGCTGGAAAGTTACTTTTGCATACAGGGGGTGAAAATCTCAATACAAAATGAGTTTAAGAAAGAGGCAAAACCACTAAACCAGGGCTGGCGAACATGTAGCTGCCTAGATGTGGGATTACAATTCTCATCAGCCCCAGCTAGCATGACCAATCAATGGCTAAGGGGATTTGGAGTCTGACCAAATTTGGAGAATTCTTCTATTATAGAAACTTGATAGGAGAAAGTCACAAAAAGCAAAAATAGAAATTTCCCCACATCTCCTAAACCAACAACGCATTACTCAGGAAAAAATGTTGCCCTCACTCCCCAAATGATTAATATCTCAAACTTGATAGCTTCCCATCTTTTAAGACTTCCTATACAAACATAAGTTTCAATTGTTTTCTTTTAATGGCATGAAGCAATGTACATTAGATGCTCCAGCCACAACACTGATATATTTGCATAGTTGTGAGTTCCTTGCAAGACTGTGCACAGACTCAGAAGGTCAAGACCACAGAAAGACAATAAATCACTCCTTGGCTATGTGGGCCTGTCTAAAGGTTAAGGATCTGAAGGATACAATGATACTTACAGCCTTTAGGGGATAATTACTTAACCAGATTTATTTGTGCTACCTTGGGCAGGTGGCTTAGTAAGTAACTTGACTGTTGCTATGTTTTATGAAACTATTTATTACCTCTGAAGAAAACAAACAAATGTTGCTACAGATGTTCCTCTGGTTATTTCTACGGTATTGTACATCAAAAAGCCTGTTGGTTCTTATGTTTCTTCCCAGAAGTAATATCTTCCACAGGCAGTAGCTAAGATGGCTAACATTGTTCCTGGAAGAACTCCTGAACCTTTAACTGCTGTCTGGAAACAGATGCTCACAGCACTGAAGCTAGATAGCTGGGTAATTTTTACTTGTTGGATTTGTTTGTTGCCCAGTTGTTTAAAAGATTTGGAAGTGAACCCCCATGGAAAAATCCATACCAGCTACCTTGTGGGACATCTTCAGGAGAAGAAAAGGCTAAGAAGTAAACTCTAAGGTAAAAGTAAAGGATCCCTGGATGGTTAAGTCCAGTCAAATCTGACTATGGGGTGCAGCACTAATCTCCACTTTCAGGCTGAGGGAGCCGGTGTTTTTCTCTGTTTTTCTGTTGTTTATTTCCTTGACATCTGATGGGAGGGCATTCCACAGGGCAGGCACCACTACCGAAAAGGCCCTCTGCCTGGTTCCCTGTAACCTCACTTCTTGCAGTGAGGGAACCACCAGAAGGCCCTCGGAGCTGGACCTCAGTGTCCGGGCTGAACAATGGGGGTGGAGACGTTCCTTCAGGTATACTAGGCTGAGGCTGTTTAGGGCTTTAAAGGTCAGCACTTTGAATGACAACTGACTATAAGAGGGTTGTTTGTTTTCCTTGTTAATGCACAAATCTTATTAATTTGCATTTGTTATTGTTTTCCAACCTTATTAGACACAAGGCAGCCCATAGGGGGCAGAAGCCAAATGAGTGCCCTGAGGTGTGGAAAACACTTCTGCGCTAATGGAAATGATAACACATAAGAGAGGCCGGCCTAAGTGCTCAAAGTGTACGGGAAGTCCCTTTCCAACTGCTCAACTCTTTAGAGACATGAAAAGATCCACTTGGGAGAGAAACCTCGCAAATGCTGAGGTTGCGGTGAAAGCTTCAGTTGAAAAGGAACCCTTATTTGACACTAGAGAAGACATATGAAAACTCAGAATATCAGAAGAGTACTGGCTCTCAACTTAAACAACAGAATATGGTACCCTGACCTGGGCTGACCCTATCCTCTGACCCAGATCCAGCCCCTAATCAATTTGGGAAGTAGGGCTAATGTTTAATTAGGTGTTTGTTTTTAATTTGGGTTATCCCTAGGGATTTTTTTTTTTTCAGCCAGAGCTCACAGGAGCTCAGCTCTGGCACCTCTCAGGTGGGCTCCATTGCCATTCTAAAAGAACAAGGGAGAAGTTTGTGGTGAGCTCCAACCTCTTTTCGTAGACTGGTCATTCCACCTTTCTGTCAGGAAATATCATATATATATTTATGGCACCTAGTTGTGCATAAAGCCAGAAATGTGACATTGCTCCACTGCTGTCTGAAATATTTATAAATAAAAAATTGTTTCAGAGCAGAAGTCCAATAATAAACGCTTGCTTGAAAAATACTTTTTGCTGATATTTAGAAATGTGCAACATTTTCCCGGATCTATGCACAGAATATATCTTTGGAATACCTGCCTTCCCCAGGGAGATGCATATAGCTGTTTACATTCCAGTCTGAATTTGGATAATTTTATGGCGCTCTGTTTTGTCATATATGTATCTGCTGCTCTTATTTTAATGTTGATACTTTAATGTTAACACTCTTTGCTATTTTATTGTTTTATGCCACCTTGTCAGGCTGGGGATCCTTAAAGGTGGGACAGAAATCTATAAAATAATATCATACTAATTGTTTTGTTCCAACTGGTGTATCCTTTCTAATTAATTGCTTTGGGGTCTTCATAGGCTACTGCTTTTCCTCACCACCCCCTTCTGTGTCCTTTTAAATCGCTTTTCTTTTGGACATTTTTGCTGCACTGCTGATATCTGTCATCCTGCTAGCATCTACTCACTCCGGGTACAATAGAAACAGTTTGAAATCTCCCAGTTTTCAGCAGGTGCTTAACTGCCCCATTGAAATCAAAGGTAAATATGCCTTGCAGACAGTTGATGTAACAGTAAGTACTTTGCAGTAAGTCAAAGTATCACTTTGAGTGGCTTGGGCAAAGGACCTGAAACCTGAAGAGCCATAACAAAATCTCCAACCTTTCCTCAAGAGGCAACATGAAGACAGTGTTTTAGCTGGAAAAGGAAGCATAAAAGTATTTCTGACAAATGAGGTTTAGATGGTCAGGAGACAGCTAGTAGGGAGTGAATTATTACACCCCCGCCTGGAACAAAGAGTGCATTGGGAAAAGATGCATTGGGAAAACTAGGGCTACAACTTTGTTGAGAAACACAATGTTGGAGATTTGCAGGAATGTTAAAAGTCTGAATGGGATCTAGTGTAGCCTCATGACCCATCCTTATCTATCTGAAGTTGATCTATGCTCAGTAGTAGAGCATCTGCAGAAAGCGTCAGATCCAGCATTTCCAGTTAAGGCTAGGACAGTCCCCTGCCTAGAACCTTGGAAACTGCTGCCAGTCAGATGCGCCAAGTTGCCCCCAACATTGGGGGGGGATGCATCACGCATGCATGATGTCACACACATGCCGACCCCCCAAACTGGCAAGGCTGCTTTGTCCCGCCACCCATCCCCCACTGCCAGGGCTGTAGCTAGGGGGTGGCAATGTGAGCCCCCGCCAGGGGTGCAGAAGATGGGGCAGGGGCACAAAATCGGTTAAATATATGTCCATAAATATAAATATCAATTATCGTATCATAAGAAATGGTTTAAAATAGAGGGTGAATTGAATGGGAGGAAGCGGGGGGTTGGAGGAGAGGCGAAAAGAAGAGCTAATTTGTCCGTGGCTAGGGGTGCAATCTGGATGGTTCTGCCACGGGCACTAGATCACCTAGCTACAGCTCTGCCCACCGCCAGCCGCCTCACTTTTGTGAAAGGGACAGGCTGTCTTTGCCCCATCGCATCCCTGGCAGAGACTGCACTAGGGTGAAGATGCTTCGCACTGGCACGTCCCTGAGCACTTTCCTGGAAGACACCCTGGCAATCCTCAAAGGGAAGCACTAGAGCAAAGATGCATTACCCTGGTGTGTCCTTTTGAGGATCACCGTGGAATTGCTGGGGGCCTCCTTGAATATATGGGGGGGCTTGCTCCCCCAGATGGCACCCGTGTTGAAGATAGTATTGAGCCAAAAGGGTCGATGGCATCTTCCTAGCATCCTAGTATCACTTTTGTTTAGCTTTTTAACCATACACCTATAAAGGACTCACTAAGAAATATGATAAGGACGGATGTGGCAAGGGCACAGTGAGAGGTACAAAACCTTTTCCTCCACATGGTGCCATACTTTTACTCAGTATGAATATTTATCACACCAAATCAAGAGAATGTCAATTTATGGTCATTTGTTTAAATTAGTACTTTCAAATCCACTGTGCATGAAAGGCATAGAATAGAGAAGCCTTCCCCTCCAGATGTTTTGAAACTACAGCTCCCAGCAAGCCCAGCTATTTAAAACATCTGGAGAGACCAAGTTGCGAAAGCTGACCTTTGTCCCAGTCCATATCTCTTAGCCTAAACTTGTATGCCACCCCCCAGATCCTTGTATGAAGGGCAGCTTAAAAATAGAATAATAAATTCCATAAAGGGAAAAATAATGCACACACACTGATAGCTAAGTGTATCAACAAATAATGAAACACCCCAAAAGTTGCTAAGTCTCTCAAGACTGTAATACAGTGATGGCCAAACTTGGCCCTCCAGCTGTTTTTGGACTACAACTCCCATCATCCCTGACCACTGGCCCTGTTAGCTAGGGATGGTGGGAGTTGTAGTCCCAAAACAGCTGGAGGGCCAAATTTGGCCATCACTGCTGTAATAAAATCAGATCTGTCGTGTTATATTGTTACTCTACAAAGGAGGGTGGAATAAAAACACTGACCCTTCAGCCAAAAGAAGACTCAGTGGATGGAAATAGTTTATATTTATTGCTGCAACATAAAATTAGAGGCCTCAGTGGATATTTCCGCAAACCTGGAATCCTGAATACAAAATTCAAGGCACTTTTATTACAATTCCATGCGTGATCACCTTTTCAGCAATATGATTGGATAACAGAATGCACGGTTAGCTTGTGAACCCCCCAAACTGATTTCCTTGGTCAAAACAGCCAGCCCCTAATTACTACGGCAACAGGTATCTTTAAGCAAAGTTCACACAAAATGTTACCTTTCTGCTATCCGTTACATAAAGCCTCATCTGGGTCAGGAGAATTTGTTGCTCTCCTGGCTTTGATGCCAGCCCCCAGTCTTCTGCGGAAGGCCAGCAGACTCTCGGCATCCTTTACTAACCTGATAAGGTGAAGGGAGAGGCCCATGGTGGGTGCTATGCTAGCAAATGGCAGAAATGCAGCTTCTGTTCATAGGTGGGAGAAGAGAAGAATCGTTTAAATCAGAAAGCAACTTCAAACTAACGAGCTGTCAGGACTGCAAGGCCAAGGCAGCACTGAATTCCTTGCAAAATAAGCAGGCAGGAGAGAGAGGGCTCTATTTCCAATACATTTCCAATACAGGACAATGGCACAGATGCATTTTGGTTGTGACTGTGATAGCGTGCTTATGCAGACTCCGCACTAAGCAGGCTGAGGTCAGTTGTGTATCAGAAATGTGTTCTGTGACAGAAGGTGTGAGCATACGTGTGTTTGCTATGGGTTCTGACATACTCCCTGGGCCACAACACTCACCTGGGTCCCAGGTCATGACAACCACGCATCAATACTAGACCTTTCCACTGTTGTTTGTCGCTAGAAGTGCATGGGCTAGAGCTTGTATATATGTCTAACATGCTTCAGTATGTATACTGTGTTTAATTTTCTCTGATTCAGGCCCTAGAAGTGATCATTCTGGAGCCCTTACACAATGCAGTTCATGGGAAGAAAGAGCCTCTAATCCTTAATGTTTTGAAGCTGCAAGACATTTTAATCAATAGGCTCAGTTTGCACAAAAGGACTTGGAATCCAAATATTCTTAATTATATGAAATTAAAAAATGATAACTGCAGCAATAAAGGCAGAAGACTTATCTGTGAATAAGTGCCTTTTCTTTTTCCCTTATCAGTACAGAGAAACAAAAGAACAACTGAAGATGAAATTGTTGCCAAATGAACTATTATACTTCTTAATATGTTTTTCATTGCTTAAACAGATATGTATTGTCTTATAATAGGCCGGGACAAAACAAATACTCTGAAAATGAGATGTTGCAGCAATTGCCAACATTCTTCTTCTACTCTTTTAAAGGTAACTTTCATATGCCTTTGTTATAGACAGTAATTTTAAAGGCATGCTGCTAAACACTCGTAATTATGCTTGGTTTTATATGAATTTAGACTAATATAAACACCTACATTTGAAAAGGTTTCTCTTTCCACAGAGATATTATTGTGCACCTACTGTTCATCTTCCAAAACAATTAACGAAGATGAAAGGGGAGACATTGCTTAAAAACAAATAGACTTTGAAGTGTCTTTTCATCTAGTCAAGGAACACCATGGATCCTGTGGTCTTTTGTCCTCTTGCTGTAGTTTCCAGCTTCCTGTGAATCTTTACAAAACATCATTCTGATCTGAATAAGGCCTGCAGGTATGTATTCCCGCCCCCCGCCCCCCAAAGCCTGGCAAATAGCTGAAAATCTATCTTCTCCCTGGTTCTTCCTGTGCAGTTCTTGACAGATATGAAGGAAACAAATTGGTGTTTTTTTTAAAAAAGCGGCTTCCTGTAGCTGATTCCCCCAACACATACTTGCACACAATGTCTTATATCACTCTGCCTTTTTCATACTCGCCAATCTTACCCGCTGTTTCTCCACTGCGTGCGCCTGTTGTAAAAGTGTACTGAATCAATACTTAAAACAGGAGCACATCCTCCGGCTGAACGTATTTGGCTGACATACGACCAGCTTTCTGTTTGCTTGCTTTTAGCTATGGCATCAGAGCTAACAACATCACTACTTTGTCCTGAATTTGCAAAGGACACAGCTTGGGGTTTGTGAGGCTTGTATATATAAAAATTTGAGTTCTCTGGGTAAGAAGACAATGGGCGGACTGAAAATGTTTCTAAAATGTTTGTATCATACAGAACCAGCTTGTTTGTGTACTTTCTGTACACAACTCCGCTCCTAAATGCCACTGCTGTCTCAAGTAAGAGTAGGCTAAGGTTCCTAATGAAATGGTTTGAGAAAGGCATCATTTCCTGTGGTGTAAATACACATATTTCCCATTGTTGTTGGCATCTTGTTTGTTTCGGGAGACAATGTAGGGGTGCACATTTGAGGGGGAAATCAAACAATTGGAAGGTTGCAGTGCCTGCTGTGGTTGTAGAGACCAAAACTGAAGATGCGTGTTTTGTTGCAATTGGGGCAATGGAGGATGGCGAGGAAATGGGGTCAGTGCACAGGAACCAGAGCAGCAGGGCCTATCACCAGAGCCAGAAGGGCCCCTGTCTCTACAAACATGGTGGGCTCTGAGGTATAGGGAGCAGCAGGAGTGGTGCTGTAGGAGGCTGAGGCAGGCAAGGGCTCACAGCCCGGCTCCCTAGCTGGCCAGGTGGGGCTCGCTAGCTCTGGGAGGAGGTGTGCGATTTCTTAGCTGGAGTAGGCTCAGGACAGGTGAGGGTCCCATTCCTCATCAAGCTCAGATGCTGCAATCAGCACGCAAGATATAAAAGGGAAGCAGGGCTGAGATGCTGTGTCTGGTCAACTTCTGCCCTTGTTCTGCCACAGCCTGGATGTTCCAGGGAGATCTTCTGGACTGCGCTAATGTGTGTCAGGCTTCAGGCAATCAGATCCCTCCCCTGGGATAAGCAGATAAAAAAAGGAAGCGTTCTTACCAATTAGTTTGTTCAATAATCAGAGCGAGAGACAAAGGAATGTGGTCTCTCTATAGAAATAGCATTGCTCCTAGTAATGTCCCACCTCCCTTTCATCTCCCCTATTCTACGTCAGTCCTGCATTGGCTAATCTGAGCCTTCTGCCGCTGAGCTCTCTATTCTACTATCCTCAATGCCTGTCTGGTCCTGGGTGAAGGGGGGTCAGGAATGCTTTCCAAGGACACTGAGTCTGCCGTCTGTCTCTCCCCTGGTGCTTCTTCTTCCTGCTGTTCATCTTCCAATATTTCCCAGCTTCTGCCCTCTGCAGCCTCTGAACTATGCCCTTCTGCAAACCACTGATCTAAATCTATACTGTCCTCCTGTTGTCAGGAAGGTTCATGAGAAGGTTCATCATTCCTCCTCAGTCCTGCCCCTAACAGTGTGGGACTGACTTCCGGATGCCTGACCCCTGAATCAGGCAGAGGCAGGAACCTGTTCTGACTGGACTTTGGACCAGTTGGCCTGCCATACTAAGCACGAGCATCTGCCATGGAATCGTGTACACCTTGCCGCCAGGTACCCTGTGATTCAGGACATCACGCCATGACTCACTTCCATAAAGCAGTGTGCTCAGTTTGCAAGCCTGGTAGACTTTCATATTGGTATTGGACATTAGCACTGCATTGTGCCATATCCTTTTTAGAGAGGCAAGCCATTGCCCTAGCTGCCTTGCCAATGCACTTGTCCAGCTCAGCATCAATGGAGACACTGCTGCATATGGTGGAACCTAGGTAGACAAATTTGGGCTTGGGTTAGGTCTGGTTGGTTATGAACAGTTCTGTGTGGCACCTTGTAACTACTCTCCTCTGGCCCTGCCTGTTAGGCGCCGCCTAGTTGCCCTACTAGATCCAGAATCCACCAACCAACGCTGAGAAATATTTGAGGGGTTAATGGAATCAACTTGTAACCCAGTGTACAATGGCATAACAAATCGTAGCACTCGAGATGCTGACAGTATCCAACAAAGCATATTTATGTATCTCCATCACAATCTGTTCAGATAAAAATAGAGGTTCTGATTTGTAGTCATAGCAAGAAGCAGATCAGTGTATACTAAAATACAGTAGATTAAGAATTCCAAGAAATGCGGTTGGTACTGGCTCAGCAGTCAGATGCATGAGTGAGAATAGAAAAAGATATTGCACCATGGCCACACATATGATTTTTTTTTTTTTTAATTGAATGTTAGAAACGAAGCAACTTTTATTGACACTTCATGCGGAATATTGGGTTGCATCTTCAGTCATTACTTATGTTTGCTTGATGGGTTTTTATTATTAAAATGCACAGATGATAACATCATGGCTCTTCACATGATGCACAAAGAGAAAGTTGGTCAAACTATAAAATATAGATAAAGAAAGGTAGCTGTTTTAAAAGAAAACTGCAAAATTAATTCTGAAATATGTATTTGAGTAAAATAGTACAATACTAGCCTTCTTCACAGATCTGTAAAATAAATGGGAATGTCACTACACCCTTTACTGTTTTAATTATGGACTGTATATAGTACTTACAATGGCGTACACTTTCATTTCCAATTTATGTGTTGTTAGTTTTGCATTATGGGCTAAGGTAGTTCACCAATTAAAGCAGTTCAGTAGACTAATCACCTGTCTTTCACCTTGTGCATGATTTACATTTAAAAAAAACCAGCGAACCTTTAATGCAGATAGTAGCTACAAATGGTTTTCACCCCTTCTGCAGTTGACCTTTCCTGAAAACCCTGTGTCCAGCAAAAACAAAAACCCTACTTTAAGAATATGTGAGGAAACAACAACCAATGGAAAACGCTTGGTACAGAGACAGCACACAGGCTTCTCCTTAACCAAACATTATGCTCCAGAGCTTGCTCAGGTGCCATCGCTTCCTGCCAGGGAACATGAGATTTGTAGTTTTCTCTGTTTTCTGAATAGAACTGGGAGAGCCAGAGAAAACTATGTGCATATTTCCCAGAAGGAAATGATGACTTGAGTCACAGGGGTCAGCAAACTTTTTCAGCAGGGGGCTGGTCCACTGTCCCTCAGACCTGGACTATATTTTTTTTGGGGGGGTGAACAAATTCCTATGCCCCACAAATAACCCAGAGATGCATTTTAAATAAAAGGACACATTCTACTCATGTAAAAACATGTTGATTCCCTGACTGTCCCCGGGCCGGATTTAGAAGGCGATTGGGCCGGATCCGGCCCCTGGGCCTTAGTTTGCCTACCCATGACTTGGGAGCATGACACTGGTATTTCCCTCTGCTCAATTCAATTTGTGAGGCAGATGGAACTACACATCGTTCTTCTTTTCAGAACATTTAAGAACATCATTTCCAACTTGGTTAGAAAGACATCTCAGCAGAGTCCACCTCATCATCACTTGCCACCTTTGCCCTTCTCACATATTAGAGGTTGCTTTGTTTTACTTTCTTGCTTGAGGAGGCTGTGGGAGGAACTGGTAGGAGATGTGCCTGCATCGTAAGAAGATAAGACAAGATTCCTGGATCAGGCCAATGGCATCCTGTTCTCACAGTGGTCAAACAGATCCCTGTGGGAAGCCTGCAAGCTGGATATGAGCACAGCAGCCCTCTGCCTACCTGTCTTTCCCATCAATTAGAGGTCAGAGACATATAGAGGTTTTTACAAGACCTTGCATGTAAGGGGCCCCTCCAACTGGCTCATATGCAACCAGAAAAAATAGCTGGGCCTGGTGAGCACTTAAAGTTCCCAACTCCATAGTTATAGCTATAATTTGTGGGTTGCCATCTGATTTTATTCTGATTTTAATATGATTTTAAGCTGTATTTCAACTGATTGTTGGATCTTATGTTTTAATATATTATATATTTGATGTTAGCCACCCTGAGCCTGGTCTTGTCCGAGGAGGGCGGGATATAATTTTATTTTATTTTTATTTTTTTATTATTATTATTATTATTATTATTATTATTATTATCAATGCCACCTCTGACAGCAGAGATAGAACATAACCATAATGGCTAGTAGCCATTGTCAGCTGCTTAGCTTTTATTCTAGCTTTCCTCAGGAGTATTACAAAATGAACTCTTAAGGGAGGGAAGACTAGCTTAAAAAAAAACCCCAACCAAATGGTTTTGAAGCAAACCAAGGGGTATTCTGACTAGCCTTTGACTGTGTCAACCACACCAAACTATGTCAAGTTCTTTAAGAAATGGGAGTGCCTGATCACCTCATCTGTCTCCTGAGAAATCTCTATGTGGGACAAGAAGCTACAGTTAGAACTGGATATGGAACAACTGATTGGTTCAAAATTGGGAAAGGAGTACAGCAAGGCTGCATATTGTCTCCCTGCTTATTTAACTTATATGCAGAATTCATCATGCGAAAGGCTGGGCTGGATTTAATTAAGATCGCCAGAAGAAAAATCAACAACCTCAGATATGCAGATGACACAACCTTGATGGCAGAAAGTGAGGAGGAATTAAAGAACCTTTTAATGAGTGTGAAAGAGGAGAGTGCAAAATATGGTCTGAAGCTCAACATCAAAAAAACAAAGATCATGGCCACTGGCCCATCATCTCCTGGCAAATAGAAGGTGAAGAAATGGAGGCAGTGAGAGATTTTACTTTCTTGGGCTCCATGATCAGTGCAGATGGTGACAGCAGCCACGAAATTAAAAGACGCCTGCTCCTTGGGAGAAAGGCGATGGCAAACCTAGACAGCATCTTAAAAGCAGAGACATCACCTTGCCAACAAAGGTCCGTATAGTTAAAGCTATGGTTTTCCCAGTAGTGATGTATGGAAGTGAAAGCTGGACCATAAAGAAGGCTGATCGCCGAAGAATTGATGCTTTTGAATTATGGTGCTGGAGGAGACTCTTGAGAGTCCCATGGACTGCAAGAAGATCAAACGCATCCATTCTTAAGGAAATTAGCCCTGAGTGCTCACTGGAAGGATAGATCGTGAAGCTGAGGCTCCAATACTTTGGCCACCTCATGAGAAGAGAAGACTCCCTGGAAAAGTCCCTGATGTTGGGAAAGATGGAGGGCACAAGGAGAAGGGGACGACAGAGGATGAGATGGTTGGATAGTGTCCTCGAAGCTACAAACATGAGTCTGACCAAACTGCGGGAGGCAGTGGAAGACAGGAGTGCCTGGCGTGCTCTGGTCCATGGGGTCACGAAGAGTCGGACACAACTAAACGACTAAACAACAACAACAAGGGGTATTCGGTAGGGGTGTGCATCAGCTCTGTGTATCTCCCAGGTTTCAAGGTGGATAGGGGTGCTTTGGGGACAGTTTTTGGCATGCCTGAGTTGGACTGCACCATTAACAAATAATCTCAAGTAGGATCAAGGTTGCTCCTTAGTCTTCTATAGAAAAGTGAAACCAAACTGACAAAGGGAATATGAGGAGAGGGGTTGGAGAGGTGGATGAGCTTTTCAACTATTATTCTGAAATTTGGCAGGCTTCATCCCCTGCAAGTTGCATCCAATTATGGTATAAACTATAACAGACTTTTTATTTTGTAGAAAAACAAGGCAAAGGTTTGAAGATGCCCTGTATGATGTATCTGCCTACAAACTGACAGGCTTAATTGATGCATGCAAATATTATCCACTTCAGCAAAAGGGGGTGGGGATGGGAATACAGCAATTTTAGACTCTATTATAGTTCATTCTTAACGGATATAATTTAGTCCCAAATAATGAGTCAAATTGGAAAGACGCAGACTGGCTCTGAAATGGGCTACTTCCCTAAGCTGGGTACAAATCATATCTTGCAACTAGCATACACTCATCAGTAGATATAGCTAGAATATCATCTGTTGATCTTTACTGTTTATACAAGAGGTAGATAACTGTTGCTCTCCAGATATTGTTGAACTTCAGCTCTCATCTTCCCTGGTCATTGCCCACGTTAGGTAAGGAAGATAAGAGTTGGAGTCTAACACATTTGGAGGACACCAGCTTAGAGAATACTGATATAGAACCTGCTTTATTTTCTCTTTGTCTTCCAAGTATTCCCCATCCCCTGATGTCACCACTTATTTGACCAGGCATTGTTTATGGTTGTTCAAGATTACATCTGCTGCTATCAAAAGGCTAGAAACCGTTTTATTGATCCAAGTCTGCAAACGACAAGCAAGGAGCATTAAAATCTATCACAAATGTCAGTGTCATATAGCGGGTCATTTAACAAATGAAAATTATTAGGCTTTGCTGTCATTATATTCTTTGCACAAGAGTGCTTTGAAGAATAACCACCTGATCTAGCTCCTTGAATCTGCTGTGCCCTTTTCACGAATTGCTTTTTAGTTATCTGACCTGATTATTGTTTTCAACATTTTGTGGTAAGGTGCTTTGAGTATCTCATGAACTGGAAAAGCAGGATATAAATATTTGAAATAAATGATAAATAAAAGCCCAATGTCTCTACAGCCAGCTAACTTATTCTGCAGCCTAGAGACAAACAGTAAGAAATGCTACCATCTCCAGCTGTGCATGAAAGTATCAAGGTATCAAGGAATCGATCTTGTTCTTCTTCACAAAGGTTAGGAATCTGTGGAATGAAGATGTGGAACTAGCAGAGGCCAGATGCAGAGTTATGGATCAATTTGTGGCATACTGGCTGGCACATCAACCTGCCATTTGTGGCCTAGCTAAAGAAGAATTAAATAGCTGGTCTAAAAGGAAAGCAGGGCAGAGGTAATACTCTGCTAAACAAATCTGTCTAAGGTGATATTCTGCTAGATAGGAGAGAGTTAATAAAACTAAGATGACAATCAGGTTATTAGTCACTAGATCCAGTGTTTGTGTAGGTGTGAGGAAAACCCTGAATTAATCAATGTGGCAACAGAAACAATCTATTATCTTTGCAAACTTAGCAGAATGTGTGCATGAAGGGATTGTAATTGGCTGCTAGTACCTGCATCCTAATGAGCGTGGGGCTGCAATCCTAAACACATTTATTTGGGAGCAGCTTCCATTGAACACAACAGTGCACATGACTGCACTGTTCAAGTCTTCTCATGCAAATAGTCCACTCAGGTGGGCTGTGCAAAGTCACAGGAAGTATTTGTGTGACGTAGTGCAGCTTGACTTCTGCAGTGAGAAAAAAGCAACTTGTGGCTTTATTTTCTAATCCCAAAAGACGTTCTATGATTGCATTCTAGTCATTTTCATTACATTGGCGTTTCTTTCTTTAATTACTATTACTATTACAAAATAAAATAAACATATTTTGTGCTTAAAATACACTTAAAACAGATCCTTATTATAATAGGTTTCAAGCATGTTCTAGCAAACAAAAATCTCCCAATGCTACTTTCTGCAGTTCATTTATTTCAAAGTATTTTTATCCTACGTTTTCCATTTCGGAGGGGGGGGGAATGCCCCAAAGTGACTGTCAGAATATAAATCAACCTCACAATAGTGCAATCAAGTTAACAGCATGATCCTGTATTACAGCTTGATCCTATGTATTTTAACTCAAAAGTAAGTCCTAATGGGTTCAATTGAGCTTATTTACTAGTAACTATGTCTAGAATTGCAAGGTGCTTTTCTTTTCTTTTCTTTTAAAAAATGAACAAATAAATGAAAATTTTACGTAGCCAATAAAGGTGGCATAATACCCGATCAGGCCTGTGGGCTCCAGTTAACATATGGCTGGCAGCTGCATTTTGAATCTATTCAACTTACGAAGTACGTTCCTAGGCAGCTCTAAATACAACATACTGTAGCAATCTAATTATCCTGGTTATCTTTTGTTGATTCGCCACAGAGTCAAAACCATCAAAACAAATCCATCATAACTTTGTTCATGTGAGCTTGCCATTTGCACGAGCAGGTTTTAATGCTTATTGGAATGTATGAAACAATTCTGAACAGTTTCCCACTGGATACTCTTCCTGCAAAAAAAGGGGGGGGCATTATTTGAAATATCAGAGTTCTGGTTAAGGCAAGTAACAAGAGCAGTAAGATTGCCATACCTCAGCCTATCAGTGGCTTAGTGGTAGAAAGAATCTTCAGCACCCAGGAAGTGGGGCTTCCTCTGGCACTGGTCTCCCAGATCCTAGTTCAGCTACAACTTCTGATCATGCCTGATTGCTGGCCATGCTGGCTAGGAATGATGAAAGCAGTAGTTCAACAGCATCAGGAGGAAATCATGTTGCTTAACCCTGATCGAAAGCATCCTCAAGATACCTGTTCACATTGCTCTATTGAAAACTTCCAAGGAAGAAAGTTCAGCCGTCTCCTTCCACTATTACAATAGTGCTATAGTTATGCAATTTTCCTAAACTGACCTTCACATATTTAAAACCCACTGTTACTTGCCTATCCCCAGGAGATATTTTGAACAATGGTTCTCTTCTCTCTTTTCAACACCCTTTAAATATTTATAAGGAGCAGTACATTCTCTCTTGATGTTTTCCTCTCCAAATATTTCCATGCAGAATTTACATATATGAGATGCTTTCTGGATCTTTTATTATTCTTATGGCTCTCCTCCAAATACTTCCAAAAACGTACCGCGCCTATATAGTAATCCTGTAAATACTTCCCAGAACATCTTGAAACCCGGCTCTGAAATGCTGCTTACTGTGCTTCAGATGAAGTTTTTCCAGTTCTGAGTCTGGTGATACTATTAAGCCTCATTTACATGCATTTGCCAGCATCCCCTCATTCCTCCCTGCTTACTGTATCAGGGGCTTATCAGTACTATTGTGGTACATAACCACACAATCCATCTTAATCATGGCGGCTTCAACATTAGGAACGCTCTCCACTAGGAACACCATTTGCACTCTCATTTATTCCAGAGAAGCTGACACCATTCCTCCCAGAGCACTGTATACTCTGACGTTTTCCCTGCTTTCTTCCTACTTCTAAAAGTGCTTCTTTGCAGTTTCTTTGTGAAGCTTTCAGGTGTGGACTGATTAGAGCTGTTGACTTACCTGGTTTGCAGGTGCACGTGTGTGCACACACATATGCACAGTTATTATTTTTGTCAGTTCTGATGGGGAAGAATAAAAATTAAACAAAATGGAAGCCTACTTTGCAAAAGCCTGTCCTCACTGCATAAAATGACCAAGAGACTATCCAGTTAACAGCAACAAATAAGTAATTTTGTTCCTAATGATGAGGACTGGGCAATGTGCAATCGACATGCAACAGGGTAGAGCTATAGAATACAAAACCTTTTGTTGCTCTTTTTTATCTGTATGGACAGGGGGGGTGGCATGGAAACAACTGCAGGGCAATGGCAACCATGCCACTCCACACAGGATATAACCCAGGCCTGAAAATTTGGGATATAGTGCTTCAGATAACTCAGGTTAAAAAAGCTTTGATCACAACATCACATGCTTAAGTTAAATATATCACTGCATTTATAATGGAACACTATTATTTTCAAAAGGGGCTTGCTTGCTTTTAACAAGCTGTAGCATAGCAGCTGCGTGTAAAACCTAGTACCTTCCATTAAAAATGATCAGGATGCAGGAATGATCTGTGCCAGAAAGAAGTTGCCAGTCTGATGTGAGCTAAATGGCTCCATGCTTTACTTAGCAGAAAATCTGCTAAGGAGGTGGTTATTCCTGGGCTGTTATTGCTTGTTCAGACCCAGAGACCTCCCCCCTAAATAAAGACACACTTGACTCAAATTTTTGTTTTGGTTTTTGACAGAATTTCGGCCACAACTTTACAGAAGGTGAGTGGTTGCATAGGCTCTGGTTCGACCAGCTCCCTACACCCTTGCAGGCAGCGCTGACCCAGGGCACCAGCATAGGTCAGCCAAAGGTGAACACCTGGGTAGGCAAACAGCCGGGAACAGACTATGTTCACCACCCAGATGCCCCCCTGGACTCAGGCACAGACATTAGGTCTCGGGGGTTGACCTAATCAAGTTGAGTCCCTGGATTCCTTTAACGGAATACCCTTCACATAGGGATGGCGAGACCATTCTCCCATCCCTGTCACCTGAACCAATGCCTATCTGCAACCTTACAAGTTGTGATGATTTGCTACGTGGCAGGTGAAAACCCAAATGGCAACAGCCAATCAGCCAAGTGGGGAAAATTCCTGCCGTGCCCCTGTCCCAACGACAGACGACACACGACGGCATAGCAAGGTCAATCACAAAATGCCCTAAATATAGGGAGAGGTGGGCGGGTGTTCCAATGCACGAGCCAAAAGAGGAAGCTCTGGGTCCCATGCATGGGTATATAAAGATCCCTCGATCCATTTGGACTGCACCCCACTGGCCAGATTGAACCCAGCAACAAGGGACCTATCAATCAGGTGTTGTGGCTGTCCAGTCTTACCCACCTACAACACAGGAGGTCAGTCTCCAGGTCTCACTGCAACACGTGCCCTCTTTTAGGGAGGAGACGGTTTGCCGCTGTTGTTCTTCACCATCCAGTTTCCCTTATTGTATGTCTAATTTAAGTTAGCAGACTTTGATACAAAAACAGTCTTGTACTTCTCTGAATATTAGGTTTAGGTAGAAATATTGCGAGGAGTTTTGCAGTGTTAATTGGCTTTGTTTGCTGTGGATAAGAGAACAGGAGAGACTTATGGTGTTTTTGTAAATATTTTATTTGTGCCCCTTGCACAGGTGAGCAAGCAGTCCAGGACCACTGAGCATACTGACTGAAGGAATGCATTTAACAAGGCCACAACTTTTTATTGATCACAGCCCTATCTGATGTTGGTTTCTCATAAGGCAAATATCCAGGTACCTGGTCCCTCATGATGTGTAGCACTCTAGTAAGTCCTGCCTGCAACCCAGAGCTGAGGCTTTTAGACAACCCCCTGTAAACTGTTATTTGACTCCTGCCCAATGGCCCTCCCCCTGCCATATGCCAAATTGAGGAAGGGGCCATTGAAAGCTAGTGTGGTGTAATGGTTAGAGCATTGGACTCTGACCTGGGTATGAGCTCAATGTGACCAGCCACTATCTCTCATCCTAACCTACCTCACAGGGCTGTTGTGAGGGTAAAAATGAGGAGAACCATGTATGCCAACTTGAGCACCTTGGCGGGGGAGGGAATGCAGTACAGTAATGTAATAAAAGAAAAGTGAAAACCTCACCAGTGAGCATAAGCAGAAGTTAACATGACCCCTAAAAGTGAACCTGTGCCATAAGCTGATTCATCTTTCTCTGTTCCTCCTTCTAGCTGCTTCCACAAAAAGTTCCTTTTGTGTGGTTGAAACATTGGTCTTCTACAGTCAGCTGGAAATGAAATTAGAATGATATTTCCACAAGGCACTTCTTATAATGTTACATGTTGCTCAACACTACCCATCTCAGTGAAAAAATATATTTCCATAATGTTTACTGGGTTTCTGACTCCTATTGCTTTCTACCGAGCATGCCCACAATGTTAATATGAATTGCCCCTAAATCCATCAGTTCCTTGTAGTCTAGATTGGGTCAGGGGCGGGGGAAGATAATTTCCTATTCTATTATTTTCTGCTTAGTGCAAAATAGTTTTATTTGAATTAGAAATAAAATAAAGAGTAGACATTAAAGAGGAAACAGTAATTAAAGCACCCCCCCCAAATAATATTTGGGGGAACGGGAACTAATTAATTAAGGGGCAATACAGTAATGCTGTGTCCCCACTGAACAGGAAGCAATGACAGGGGCAAAAGTCACAAAGAGAAAACTTATGAAGACACAATAGCCCTGAAAGCCTCACTTATATTTTGTCATTCTGCAGTGGGCTGGCTGGCACCGCAATTGTGTTTCAAATTGGGGGAAATTGCAACAAATCACAAATGAAAACGCACATAGACAACAGTGAAATGTAATGGGTTGGCAATGACCTCATCTGGATTCTTTGCAAAAACTGAGGGAATGAAGGATGTCACTTCCACACAAAGTGGACAGTATGGGAGCAACTTCTCCCAGTCTTTTCCAGCTGTTTTTCTTGCATGATCTGCCAAGCACTAGTCTCAGACCCCACCCCACAGCCCTGCAGACAAATTGCCTGTTGAGGCCATGGCTATTAAAGAACATGAAGTTTATTTTGTATCAGATCTCTGCCTTCCACCCAGAATCACTTTAGGCAAAACCATAATGATACACCCATTCACAGTAATCAGACAGCAAATTCACAACAATATAAATCAAAACAAATAGCCTGTTTTTTCCTTGCTTGATTCCCAAGTAACAACCCCTAGAGATAAACCTGTTTTGATTTTCATCATTCCTTTTTTACTTTTTTTTTTTTGCCACATTTTACTTTATTTTCTTCTGTTACAGAGGAAAGCTTTGCATGGAATGGAATTTGCTCTTTGTGCGATAAATACTAATGCAGTAATCCCAAACAAAGAAACTGGGAAGTGGGGTAAAATTAAGCAGATATATTTCATAAGATACAAGTCTTAAAAAAAAAATATTAGTCACACTATTTTGGTATTCTAAGCAGATATTAGTCATATGGCATAAAGTTTTTTTAGAAGAAAAACCAGACATTAATAATCTGTAATAATTTTTTTGTGGCATGCTTAATAAGTTCATCAAGGCTTCCTATAAATCAATTTGTCATTTACTTTTCATATTTGTTGCATTTATTTCCCCCTTCTGAAAATGTTCAGCCTTAGTGAAACCCATTGAAACAGCAGCTATGGACATTTTAATGATACAAGTGTATTGAAAAGAGCAACCCTTTATGAAAGATGTATAATGTAGAGTAGAGAAAGCCAACATGGTGCTCTCTGGGTTTTGTGGGCTACAACTCCCATTGCACCAGCAAGCATGACCAATAATCCAGATGTTTGTAGCATTACAACAAGTGTCAGGAACCTTTGGTCCTCCATATGTTGCTGAACTACAACTCCCATCATCCTTGGCCATTGCCCTTGCTAGCTGGAGCTGATGGGAGGTGTAGTTCAGCAACATATGGAGGGCCAAAGGTTCCCTGCACCTGAATTGCAAGTTCTGTCTTCCCTGATCATTGGTCGTGCTGCCTGGAAAATATGGGAGATGGAGCCCAATAGCATCTTGAAGGTACCACATTGGTCTCCCCATCTTAGTGGACTTGTATACGGGGTTTATGATTTGAATACAGTGGTGCCTCGCAAGACGAAAAGAATCCGTTCCGCAAGTCTCTTCGTCTTGCGGGTTTTCTCGTCTTGCGAAGCAAGCCCATTAGCGGTTTAGCGGATTAGCGCTACAGTATTAGCGGCTTAGCGGGCTTAGCGGATCAGCTGATAAGCGGCTTAGCGATCAGCTGTTAAGCAGCTTAAGGATCAGCTGATAAGCGGCTTAACGATCAGCTGATAAGCGGTTTAGCGGCTTGGGGAAAAGGGGGGGGAGGAAAAAAACCCCGCAGGAACTCGCAAGACATTTTCGTCTTGCGAAGCAAGCACATAGGAAATTCGTTTTGCGAAGCACCTCCAAAACGGAAAACCCTTTCGTCTAGCAGGTTTTCCGTCTTGCGAGGCATTCGTCTTGCGGGGCACCACTGTACTTGCATGTTCAATGTATTCTGTGAGATACAAGTGTTGATGTAATGGTTACCTCACCTCAACAAGGATATCATAGAGTTGCAGAAAGCAATCAAAATCATCAAGGAAAGGTACCTCTGTTTGGGACTTTTTGCTCCAGAGAAAAGACAGGTAAGAGATGACATGAGAGAAATTAGCTCATATGGTAGAGCATGAGACTCTTAATCATGGGTTTGAGCCCCACATTGGGTGAAAGATTCCTACATTGCAGGGGGTTGGATGAGATGATCCTCGTGGCCCCTTCCAGCTCTGTGATTCTATGATCTATGAAATTTATAGATTATACAGGGCATGGAGAAAGTGGATGGAGAAATGTCCCCACTCCCCTCATAACAACAGAACTCATGGGCATCCAATGAAGCTGAAGATCCAGGACAGATAAAAGAAAGCATTAAACGCATAGTTGAACTATGGAACTGGTTGCGTGCTCAGAGCCAGAGACCTCCCCCCTAAATAAATTCATGCATGACTCAAATTTTACTTTTGGTTTTTGGCAGAATTTAGGCCACAACTTTATTGATTACAGAAAGTGACTGGTTGCATAGGCTCTGGTTTGACTAGCTCTCTGCACTCTTGCAGGCAGCACTGACCCAGGGCACCAGCATAGGTCAGCCAAGGGTGAACACCTGGGAAGGTGAAAAGCTGGGAACAGACTCTGTTCACCACCCGGATGCCCCCCTGGACTCAGGTATGGGCACAACCCTCTCTCAGGGGTTGATCAAACCACTGAGTCCCTGGATTCCTTTAATGGAATACCCTTCACATAGGGATGGCGAGAGCATTCTCCCATCCCAATCACATGAACCAGAGCCTATCCACAACCTTACAAGTTGTGACAATTTGCTCTGTGGCAGGGGAAACCCAAATGGCAACAGCCAATCAGCCAAGTGGGGAAAATTCCTGCCGTGCCCCTATCCCAATGACAGGTGACACACGACGGCATAGCAAGGTCAATCGCAAAATTGCCCTAAATATAGGGAGAGGTGGGCGGGTGTTCCGAATGCACGTACCGAAAGAGGAAGCTCTGGGTCACATACGTGGGTATAAATAGGTTCCTCGATCCATTTGGACTGCGCCCCATTGGTCAGATTGAACCCAACATCGAAGGACCTACCAATTGGGTGTTGTGGCAAACCAATCCAACCCACCCACAACACAGGAGGTCAGTCTCCAGGTCTCACCGCAACACATGCCCTCTTTGAGGGAGGACACAATCTCCCACAGGAGGCAGTGATAGCCACCAATTTGGATGACTTTAAAAGTGGATTAGAGAAAATCATGGAGCAGAAAACTAGCAATGGCTACTTTCCATGAAGGCTATGCTCTGTCTCCATGGTCAGAGGCAGTAATGCTTCTGAATTCCAGTTGCTGGAAACCATAAGAGAGGAGAAAGCTCTGCTGTTTGGGTCCTGCTTGTGGGGCTTCCCACATGCATCTGATTGGCAACTGTGAGAACAGGATGCCGGGCTAGATGGGCCATTGATCAGCACACACTTCTTATATTCTTACTGAGTGATTTTTTCCTTTTTCTTTTTTTTGTGTGCGGACACAATAGAGGTTTCCCACATATTGGCACAACATCTCATGTAACCTCACAGCACTGAGACTGCTTTGCCATTTTCAACAAATAAATGGCACAGTACCCCTTTGCCTCTAATGCTAAACATTTTTTTTTAAAACTGGAGCAGCGGTTGAAAGATCAGACTGAAACTATATCAGAACAAATCCCCCGCCCCTCAAAAAAGTGAGCTTGATGTTATTTCCTAGGAAGCTTAGTATTTTCTCATGTGAGGGGAAATGTCGTATTGAGCCAGTTTTCAAACCATGTTTTTATGTCAACTGAATCTCCAAGGAAATAACTTCCAGAATCAGCGGAAAGTGCAAAAGCATTTTCTCTTCGGCAGAGCTGGATACAAACCATTATTCTATTTCTTTGTAGGTGAAGAGGTTGCAACTGTGAGCCCAAACAGACACTCCTCAGTCTACTAGGGGAGAAAATCATGAATAGTTTCAATAAAGTGAACTTTCCCCCTGCCCACAGATAAATTGAAGTCAACTATGGAAGCAAACGGCTTGTCAGGTACAGAATTGGAAATCTGTGGATTACAGCCGATTCTTCTGGTCTGGTGCATTTATTAAGTGCAACTCAGAGCACATGTTATGGTGGGGGGGAGGGAATGCAAGCACTAAAGGCTATTTTTAGAGATGGTTTCCTGTTGCTGCTGCTGCAATATGTGGTATCATGAAGTCTTAATCATTATCCCTTGCAGCCTCCCAGTGTGAAGCTGAATAGCAATAATGGAAAGTTGACAATGGGGATGCACAGAGAATCAAGTTTCTGAGATTAAAACAAGTGCTGTATGTAACTTCGAACATACGCCTTGGGAAGGATTTACTGAAACAGCATTAATAATATCTGAGGGTTGCAAAGCCCAAATATTGTTCTATGTATGTATTAATTTCCTGTGGGTTGTGGCTAATGCTGCAGTTCCGCTGGCACAAGGGAGTTTCATGCAAGCAACAGAACTTCTGCTTCCTCTCCTATTTCCTTCAGCCTATTGCACACAGCCAAAATAAGTTCTGGAGGCTTGGTGCACCCTCCAGACCAGATATAGGGGCACACAGAGGAAGGAGAGGAGACAGAAGCCCCATTGCACCAGAGGAACCCTGCTGGCGTAGCATGGGATTCAAAACAATATTTCTATGCCACCCTTACAGGCAATTTCTGCCCCTCCCGTGGAATGGGGCCTTACATTGGCACCACTGAAATTTGCAAGACTGAAGTCTTTGTCTGATTCAGGGAACCTCCATTAGTACAGAAGGGCGTAGAGCTAGTCCACTCATCCCTACACCAACTTATGTTTATGTAATGCTTGATGCGATCACCTGAAGAGGACTTGTGCACCCTACTCTAACCAAGGGACAGAAATTGGAGAGAAGGTTGCATGACTGCTAAATAATATCTCTTCTCACACTTTGAGAACTGTCTGCCCAGGAAAAATCAGGGGGTGGGGGGAATCTCTTGTCTTGATTTGGGCCAGTGACACCAACAAATCCAGATGAATAGGGGTGCATTTCCTCAAATATTGGTTTCAGCTTTGGTTAATTGTGTTAATGCCTAGTCCATCATTCTTCCAATAGAAAAGCATAACAGAAAGTTGAAATAGTTCCAGCAGGACCACGGAAGCTAGCTAGCAGAGATCTGTTAATCTGTATAACAGATATGATATCTTTTGTTAACTTTTGTTTTCCCTTCCATGGGTAAATCACCCTTGGTCATGCTCAGCGTATTCTGACAGGTTCCGACAAATGAAATATTCCACCTGCAAGACTCCCTCACAGTGCAAGTGGAAAGTTTTGTGAACTTTTGAGTCAGAGAGATGACTTTGAAATAACATCCCCCTCAACAGCCAGTTTCTTTAAAATGAACAGAACTAAACGATTTCATTTAATTGCAAGCTAGTAAACATCCCTCAACCCCAGTCAAAAAAAAGTATAATAAAACAGCAGGTGAAAAAATGAGCTGGCATGACTATTAGCAGTGATTCCTAAACAGGCTTCCTGATAGTCTCCTTCTTGATTTATCTTAAACTCTTTGGGAAAATTTGAAGGTCAGCCATAAAATTTAGGTTTTCAATGGAAACAGAAAAGGGAGAAGACTGTATCCAATGTTCTCTATCCACCAGAACAAGACTCTTGCACAATAAAAGAATTCAGTGTAACAGTTGCACTAGCAGAAACAAGTTGCACAACAGATTGTAGAATCTATTGTGCAACAGAATTACCAGCAACCTGCTTGTGTATTCTCTTGTGCAATAACTTTGTGCTAGAGCAAAATATTTCACCAGTGGAACAAGTCTACTGCTAAGTGACTTTAACTTAGTGCTACATTGTATGCAATATATGCAGTTGGTCTAAACTCCAAGGGTTGGCAGAAGACACATATCTTTCTTTAGCCCTGTCCCAATAATGAATGATAAGTGGTATTCAAATAAGTTCTGTTGCAGCATTTAATTCCTTTTGCTCCACCTCGATCACAGATTATCTGATGGGGTACTTCTGGTGGTTCCTCGAGCCTCTGAGGTTTAGTTGGCTATTACTATGGACCGAGCCTGTGGAACTCCAGACCAGCAGAAGTTCAGCAGGAAACATCCCTTCCTTCTTTCAGACATCTTTGGAAAACTATAGTTTAGAAGGGCCTTTGCAATATGAATTTTCTGTTTTTAACTAATCAGTATTTATTAGTGGTCTATGGGTGCTTTAAATTATTTTGTGAATGCCTTTTGGTGGCTTTATTCTTATATGTTGTATACCATCTTGATATATATTTCTATGAAAGTGCAGATTATAAATATGTTAATTAACAAACAAACAGATGTCTGGATAGATTGTTGTCAAGCCTACTCTGCTGAAGCAATGTTTAGACTTGTTTTCTGTATATTAAAAGCAGATTAAAAATAATTGCTTCCATACTCAGTCCTTCAGTGTGCATCTAGCTCTTTATCATCCAAGCTTTTCTTCACCTTTTGTTTGATTTTAGTCATTAAGAGAGCAATCCTAACTATAAGAAGCTGCTGTATTTCAAATTCTGTTCAGGAGCCTCTGGGAGGGGCTGTTGCCAGCTAAGGCGGCAGGTGAGTGTGGGTCTGATTTTGAGGATTTGGCTCTAGGTTACATGACTGAGTTTGGAAAGACTGAGTCTTTCCTTGCTCCACTGTGCCTCAGAACATCCTACTTTGTGACTTAATGTCAGCATCAATTACATCAGCTAAAGTTCCACTAGCAGAGGCCCAGCAGAGTCCTGGATGAGCTGGGGCAAGGGACTTATGCCAGTGCATCTCTAGCTAAGATGAGATGAGGGACTTAAAACGGTAAAGGTAAAGGGACCCCTGACCATTAGGTCCAGTCGTGGCCAACTCTGGGGTTGCAGTGTTCATCTTGCTTTACTGGCCAAGGGAGCCGGTGTACAGCTTCCGGATCATGTGGCCAGCATGACTAAGCCACTTCTGGTGAACCAGAGCACGGAAATTCCGTTTACCTTCCCGCTGGAGCGGCACCTATTTATCTACTTGCACTTTGACGTGCTTTCGAACTGCCAGGTTGGCAGGAGCAGGGACCGAGCAACGGGAGCTCACCCCGTCGCGGGGATTCGAACAGCCGACCTTCTGATCGGCAAGTCCTAGGCTCTGTGGTTTAACCCACTTATGCTAGTGTGAAAAAAAGGTAAAGGTAAAGGACCCCTGGATGGTTAAGTCCAGTCAAAGGTAACTATGGAGTTGTGGCGCTCATCTCGCTTCAGACTGAAGGAGCCAGCATTTGTCCACAGACAGCTTTCCAGGTCATGTGGCCAGCATGACTAAACTGCTTCTGGCGCAACAGAACACCATGACAGAAACCAGAGCAGCGCATGGAAACACCATTTACCTTCCTGCCGCAGTGGTACCTATCTATCTACTTGCACTGTTGTGCTTTTGAACTGCTAGGTTGGCAGGAGCTGGGACCGAGCAACGGGAGCTCACCCTGTCACGGGGATTCGAACCGCCAACCTTCTGATCAGCAAGCCCAAGAGGCTCTGTGGTTTAAACCACAGAACCAACCACGTCCCTGTAGTCCTCATTGAGCCCAGGTTTAGCTGGGAAAGCTGAAAATCTGCCAGATGCAAACTCTTTCATCCAGGCAGGTTTGGTTTGTGCTGTCATTTACTTATGACATGAATATGCTGTTATTGTTATTGTAGTAGTAGTAGTAGTAGTAGTAGTAGTAGTAGTATACAAAGCGGTGACCAGACAAGGAGTGCAGAGAGAAGAAATGCCACGGTTTACCTGTAGCAGCAAAACCAGACACCTTCATCTGCCCTACCCGCAATAAAACATGTATCTCTTATATCGGTCTTTGACTTTAAGCCTTGCCAATTACACTGAAGAAAATAGGATGGTTCCTAAAGTATACACCTCAACTGCCAAAGGCCAGGGCAAAGAGGTTTGTCTCCCACATACAGTGAAAACTGCATAACGTTAACCAGACATATGGTAGGGATGGAATACTACAGCTTAGGTGTTGCCATAGAGAAGGCCTTATTCATAATGGGACATTATATTATTCTGCATTGTTATACAAAAATCAAGCTTCTTAAAATAAATAGTATGTAAAACAAACTACTTAGAAATTCTGAGGAGTATGACAATACTTGAAATAAATACCTCTCTCTAGTTTCCCTTTTTATTATGTATTTTCTGTACATTTAGCTTAAGTACAGAACGCTCATTGCTTTTTACATGTTGCAGAGCATCTAGAGGGTTTTGTTTTGTTTTGTTTTTTGTTTTTGTTCTTGGGCAACTATTAAATGATGACAATGGTGATGAGTTTCTTTACCCAGGCCCTGACATGAGTCATGGGGCCTCATAAAGTCAGCTGTCAAAAGCTACTTGGCCGAGGTCCCAAACCCACTACATCATGCAGGGTGGATTCCAATGAACAGCTGTGAGACAGAAACTGCAACACATTTTTTTATTTTATTTTTTACACGAATGCCCCACATCCCTGTGCCTTCACGACAGCTTGCACACTGGCTTACCCAAAGTTTAACACGGTCTCATTCCACTTTGCAAAAAATTCTAGACTATGATGAGCTATGCTTTTATCACCAGACTTTGAGTTGTCAAGACATTCAAAAAGAAGGTCTGTGTGCGAAAATGTAAAATACAAGGTGTGACCAGAAAGTGTGGTGAATGGTCACAGAAATCGGACAGTGAGAAGTATTTGAACATACAATCGGCATTGGAAACCCACAAAATGCTCACAATTGTGTACGGAGATGAAGCTGTAACTCAAAAGACAGTGTATGAGTGGTTTAAGCATTTATGTGAAGGGTGGCAAACCATCGAAGATGATCCTCAGTCTGGCAGACCGTTGACGAACCAAACAGCGGCAAATGTTGACAGAGCTTGTGAGTTATTGATGTGGGATCATCGTTTGTCCATCCAAATGATGGCAGAAGAATTGCATATTCTGCATGAAATCGTTACTGAGGTTACTGAGTTGTCCCACCCTCCATATTCTCCCAATCTGGCCCCACCGGCCTTCTTTCTTTTTGCAAAACTGAAATCTGCCCTGAAAGGGCACAGATTTCCCAACATTTCACACATCCAAGCTGCTGTGACGAGGGAACTGAAAGCAGTACAAAAAGAGGACTTCTCCAGAGGTTTCCAACAGTTCTATGAACGTTGTCAACGGTGCATTGTATCAGAGGGAGCCTACTTTGAAGGCCTGCAAGGTATGTATGTTCGAATATTTCTTGCTGTCCGATTTCTGTGACCATTCACCGAACTTTCCAGTCACACCTTGTATATGTGGTGGCTCCACTGCCTCAGTTTGGGGCTGAATCTTAGAGAAATAGTGACGACTTCCAAACTTTTTTAGCAAGATGTGGCAGTCTGTGGCATCCATGGAAGTTGCCTGATTGCAGCCCTTGCTTATCACTTCGGTGTGCTCTCACATGTAAAGCAGGACGAGCCTGTCCATTTCCACTTGACAACTGCTAGATGCCACAAAGAAGCATTACAGCTGGTGAAATTATTGGTCATTATGATTGTTGTTAACCACTCAGGAATCCTAAGGGTGTAAGCAAATAGCTGACAACATGAAATAGCAAAAGCTGTGCATAACTGCTGAATAGTTTTCCCTTTCTGGGTGCATCTGGGTTCCTTTGGCTGGATCTAGTGAGGACCGCAAACATATCCATCACACAGTTAGCTTCCCATGGGAAACATAAGGAGGTTGCCTGGGAAAAGAAGACATCCTGTGTTCTCAGTTCCACACTATAGGATGCAAATAGAACTGGGTGGAGATGCCACCTGGGCACATCTTCAAAGTCCCTGGGTCCCATGTGAAAACAAGCGGCTGATGATGGAAATGCTTATAGGCACATATGCAAGGAGGCTGATATATTTTCAGCTTATGGACAAAGTTTGCAGTGTATACATGCGGTCCTGCAGCAGTGGAAATTGCACGCAGTAGGCAGGGGAGAAGGAATTCAGTAAGAAATGACATCATAGACATTTTAAGGAAGGGAAACTGGGAGGGGGAAGATGACTAGTGTGTTTCTACAAGGATGCAGTACATCATATCATTATGATAAATATAAAAGCCGAATTCCCAGTTACTTGGCTTATTTGGGGGGGATTTCAGTGCTTGTGCAAATTATTCAGAACATTGTTGCTTCAGGGGAAAGTGTTCTCATCGTCTTTCTTTCCAAGCGGAGCTAGCTGAGAGATATTCATGAAAGATTCACCAGGGCCAATTTTTCTAGGAGTATAAGCAAAAGCCACATCAATATTTCAATGTCTCAAAAAATGTGACGATTCTCCTGCCTTGAGTCGATGCTTAGAAACCATTGAATTTTAATGGAATGAACATTTCTGGAGAGGTTCCTTATGAAAATTTATGGGAGGCAAGCAGGCTTTCCTCCCGCCCCCCTCTCTCCTCTAACTAATATTTTGAGAACAATAATGTTTTACAATATTGCGAGGTAGGAAACGGTGTTGGAAGGAGCCTGACTGGTGATCTTTTCATCATGGTCCTTGTAGACTGCTAGTTTCCCAGGCAGTTTCAGCTGTCACAGTTGCTTAGAGTTCACTGGGCTGTTTTTAGTTACTCATTCAAATATTCATAAGAACCGAGGGCTGCAGTTTGCTGTCTGGTAACAACTTCATTTTCTGCTCACACAGAGCTTGTCCTTGTGGGAGGCTGTTCTCTGCCCCGATTGGCTCTCGTGCAGTCACATGGCCTTTCAAGGATAATGGAGTTTCCTTGGGAGTAGGTGAAAGAAGCATGTTCTACCTTTTATCTTTGCTTGGCTGAACGATGAAAATGATTGCAGGCGACAGTTATGGATTATCAAAGAGATGTGAAATGATCAAACCTATATCAAGCACTGGTTTGTGCTACGAGAGAAAGCGCATCCTTTAATTATTTACCGGGTGGGATAGCTCACACCTCAGGAAACCTTAAAACGGTCACAGTTTTGTGCAAATATTTACTTAACAATATTGTAGTTGAAACACAGTAATGAAAATAGGTGTAATTTTGTGCAGTGTTCATAGGGAAGGCCAATGGACTGTGACATTTCGCTGCATGGGAGCGGAATCGCAGGAGCGCTTGCCTTTTATTGCATTAAAGCTCTTGTTACATTAACCCTTCAGGGTAGCGCAGAAATTAGCAGAAAGGGAAGAATCTGATCATCAGTTTAGAGCTTAAAGATTATCACAGCATAAGCAGCAAAATCACTTATTCAACAGAATTAGCATTTTTAATAAAATACCTACACACAGCAAGCTGTAAATAGTCCAGGATGAGAGCTTTGTGCATTTAGGAATGAGGGAGAAATTAGTTTCATTTAAAGGCAAACCTACCTAATTTGCACTCCATAGAGGGGGAAATGCAGACCAAAATGCAAGCATCCTTCAAATTTGAAATTCTTCCAATTTTTCAGGGCTGTTCTTCAACTAAGTAACATATACAAAAAAGCATGTACTGGGGTAGAGTGTGCATAAAAAAGCAACTATTATCAAAGAAAATGTATATAATAGAGACAATTGCATGCAAAAATGTGTATACAGTGGTACCTCGGGTTATGAACTTAATTCGTTCTGGAGGTCCGTTCTTAACCCGAAACCGTTCTTAACCTGAAGCTGAAATGGAGACTGGAAAAGCAAGAAATGGAGAGAGGCCAAAATAGGCAGATTTCCCCATGAAAGACATGTAGATAGGTCTTATCTTTCAAAGGTCTCAGAAGAATGCTATGTAAGGGCAAAACACCTACTGCACTGTTATTTTAAGCAATTAAATGGTATTGTTGCACACCACTCAATCTGAGTGGTGCAAGATTCCAGGGTTTCCAGACGCTTACCCGAGGTTCGTGTTTCCTTCGGAAATGAGGCACAGCAAAGATTGTGGTGTCTTTATGATATATGGCTTATTTACACATGTATACAACCTGAGCCTGTGATGGATGGTTCACAGCACCAACAAGGTCTTGTTTCTCCGAGAGCCACATCCTTGGACTCAGACATCAAATATTGCTCTGTCTCTCTGCCTTGCTGCTTTACGTCTGGCCCACATCGCCGCAACTATCAACTCTAAATGCTTGCTCTGTCTTCATAACTATCCACTAGATGAGGGAGGGCCCTCACTCATTTGCCATCTTCCAAAGAGCCCCTTCCTTTGTTCTCCTTAATGGCCCATCACCTAGGCTGTCACCTCACTGGGAGGCCAGTCTGGCTATTCCAAGAATTAGAAGCTTTGATTAACTTTCAACACTTAGAAGGGATCAGAAGGGTCTCGGCATACAGCGTAACAGCCCAAACTCATAACAGTATGCACTTACTTGCACAATAGCACCAGTATTTTCCACGTTCCCTCTTTATCCCACTAACATTTCATCTTATCCGCAGAGACATAGGATATAAGGGACTGAGGAAGTTGCAAGTGACCCACCTAGCTCAAAGTATACTCCTTTTATCTCAGGTTAATTTGTCTTGATTAATATGCCACCGATTTATTTTATGCAGAGAACTAGCATATGGTTTAATATATTTCTCTTAATTATAATAATAATGATGATGATATGTTTGCCCTGCGCTGAAGGCTTTGAATGGGAAACATTACATAACTCATAACTATTCATCAGAATTCAGACCATGCAAAGGTAAGCATGAGCAATTCTACACAATACACACACACAAGGTAGCCCTGATGGTTAAATATAAGACTGAGGGAAATAGCAAACACTGGGAAGATGCCAGGTTATGGTGTAAAGGAGGCAGAGAAGGAGATATGGTCAGGGTTCAAGGGATCCGTCTAATCCCACAAATATTAAACAATGTGATCACCTGGGGACAAACTCCTAAAACAGGAGTGGCGAACCTCCAGCCCACAAGCTGGTTTTATTCAAGTTTCACGTGCCTGGCTTTTATTCTATTGCTGCTTTATTGTATTTTGTTACATTTTATTGTGCTGGCATTACAGCTGTTAGTCACTTTGAGCACTATTTGGTGAACAGGCAGGATACAAATTTAAGAAAGAAATTAATCATGTCTGTTGCAGGTAAACTTCATGGATATTCCACTGCAATAGATTTAAAGCAGTCTAGCAACTTTGGCTGATACAGAAAGTGACAGATTTCTTCCTGATGAGGGTCCTTGTTTTCTGGGAACATGTTATGCAATTTTTGCTTACCTGCCAATGAGGGCATGTGCATATGTGAACATGAACACACACTTACATGCATGCAAACACATACACACACACACACACACACACACACTTTTCATCTTTCCTATTCTATCTCTAGAATTATTTGTAGTACAGACAGTGCTCTACATATAAACTAGCCAGATTTAAAATGTTTTTTTTTTCCCCAGCTGGGAACACAGCCGCTTCCTTTTGTGGTGAGGGAACAGCCATTCTGTTCCAGTCAAAACCAAACACACATTTAGAGCCTTGAACAAAGGAAAATGCTGGCAGTGGCAGAGGTGGTGAGAAATTTAGAGTATGTTAATAGCAGAAGGGGAAAGGGTGAAGCACGGCTGTCTCCCACCACCAAGACCAACTCTCTGCTCTAAATTCCTCCCTCTTTGTGCTGCTTTTCACTTTACAATACAATGTCAGAGCTGAGTCGCGTAGCTTTGTGTGGTGTATGTAGGTAGCTCCTATAGATAAAGCATTACCCCTGTGTAACTGAAGCCCCAATTTTTCGAGCGATTTGCAAAATAGGTAGATCAGCCCTGGGTTCTGCAAACACTTTGCTAAAATGTGAGTCTTAAAATGCAAAGAAAATGTGAAAAGCAGTTTGATGAACAAAGGAGGTGGGAGAAGCAATTGTTCTAGGTGCAGCCATGAGCATGGCAGACATTATGAAGGCATGGTCAGAAGAGGAGCAGCAAAAGGAATCCGACAACATTGGGGCAGCTGAAAGTTTGCACCATGCACCATGCAGCACCATGGCTAAACTACAAAACAGAAAAGACAGCAGAGAAACCTTATTTCTAAGCTAAACAAAGGATGGGAAAGATGCTATGAGCACTTCTTCATTCTGCCTCATCCTCCGATGAAACAAAACCTTGTGAAGGTAAAACCCTACCGCTGCTGCCACCAGAAGAAAAAAAAGGATTACAGTTTCATTGCAAATATAAGATAAAACCATCCCTGGAAGGGCAAAAGCAAAAAAAAAAAAAAGTAATAATGTTATTTGCTCATAACACCCACTATCACAGCTACAGCAAAGAGACTGTCAGCATTTCTATTACAGTGCCATATTTCAGGGGCTTATAACCAGGCCATGAAAAGATGCTCTGAAAATTGAATCCAGAACACAGGCTGTCTTTAGCTGCAACTTATATATTACTCTCAGACCTGCAAGGCTGGATGCCGTGAACACGAAATACGAATCGTAAACAAGACACAGCTAAATCATAGCAGGTGCATTGATGCGGTATTAAGTTAAGGATGTCACAAGCCTGGCTGGCTGATCTTTCATTTATGGTCTAGTTTTTCTCCCATTTTAATAACAGGACATTGAATAGGAAAGGAGAAGGGGGGGAGCAACCCACAAACCTCTCAAAATAATTTGAAATATTATCATGGTTCACACCATCACACTTAACAGTGCACTTGTAGAACATGTGTATGTGTGTGTGTGTGTGTGTGTGTGTAAGCTATCTAGATTTCTCTGAACACCATTTCATCACACTTTTAGCCTCTTCCAATCTGACACTCTCTAGGTGTTTTGCAATACCATGCCCATCAGCCTCAGACAGCATGACCAATGACCAGGGACAATAATTGTGGCCATCAGAATGTCTCTAGCCCAATCTTGCAAATAAACCCATGCAAGTTAGCAGACTACTAAAATAAAAATCTCCTAGCCTTCCCATCCTAGCTACAGAGAAAAGAAATTCCGTTCATCTGGGGGAGGGAGAGATACTTCCTTTTGACAGTTTATTTCAAGATGCTGGCTGCACCTTGACTATGTGCTCTCTCAATCCTTGTCCCTCGGGTCTTCACTTCTTCTTCTTCTTCTTCTTCTTCTTCTTCTTCTTCTTCTTCTTCTTCTGCGATCACTCATAGCCAAGTAAGATTGTCTTCCATAAACACGAGGTTGGATTTTTGGAAGACGCCTGTGTGTGAATTTGTTTTATGTGTGCAGATCAGTGAACGCTGACCAACACACAGTCTTCGCAGTAGGGCTCTGTTCCGATGTTATGAAATAGTCGCGACAAACCGGTAGATTCCTATCTGCTGCAGCCTTCATCTGCCTTCACAGCCGTTGTAACATACCGCTTGTTATCATCCGCCTGTTCTGCCGTTGAGGACTTCTTGGATCATTCTTTGTCTAGCTCCTTCCCTTTGACCACACCGCCTTGGGTGACCCTGCTGGGAGTGCGAGATTCCCGACGGCTTCACTCACAAGGGTCATAGGCACATGCAAGCCCACTCACCACAACAAGGTGATGATCCAGCGAGTCTGGGTGGCAACCTGTGACTGGTTGGGTGTGATTGGCTCTACTTTACACAAGGGGGTGGTCCCCACTGCCCTTAGAAAAACAGTGGTAAAGCTAATCCTAAATAAGCCCACCTTGGACCCAGTAATTTATGATAGCAAATGCCCCATGCTGAGGAAAGGCAATTGGGAAGATGGTGCTGGAGAAACTGCATAGGTTCTTGAGGGATACCAATTATCTAGACACATTCCTGTATGGGTCCAGGCCTGGTTTGGGGACAAACTTGGCCTTGGTCTCCCTGATGGATGACCAAGAGAAAGAGAGAGAGGAGTGCTGCTTCGCTTCATCTCCCCTCTAATCTCTCTGAAGCTTTTGATACCATTGATTATGACAGTGCTTCAAATCTCAGCTCTTGTGGAGCTTCCAGAGATTGGCACTGGAGAAGTGCTGTTCAGTGTCCCTTTGGCACCCCTGTCCCTCTAGCTCAGTATGTTTGACACTGACTAGCAGCTGCCCTCCATGGTTACAGAGAGGACACATTCCCAGCATGACTTGGAGTTGCCCAGAATTGGGGACTCAGCCACATTCAGGCAATTACCGTATTTTTCCATGTATAAGACGCCCCTTATTTGGGGGGACTCAAAATTAAGAAAATGCACTATTCACTATCCGTTTATACTACGACCTCTTATTTTAAAC